CGAGGTTGGCGCAGGAGAGCTTGGGTGCTGCCTGAACGCCAAAGAGCAGAGCATCCCGAAACGCTCGCCTGACATCTCGGTGGGCATCCCCGGAGGAAAACCGGCCGAGCGGCCCTCGGCGGCACGGCTCCTGAGTAACCGCAGTCCCAGGAGAGGGGCTGGGACGCAGATGAAAGGAGCCGTTTTATTTTCTGGTAAACAACTGTGTCTTTGTCATCTCTTGATTTTATCAAGCCAAAATGGCTTTGTTTATGCACCGGCATCGTCGGCTGATGTCAGCGCCGCTCTGGGAATAGCGCACGGTGGCTAATTGCTGCTGCAGCGTCGCTGGTGGGAGAGGAGACCGAAATACCCCGTCTGGATTTGCTCCTCCTGCCTCTCTGGTGGAAGGAGCCATCTTTTTCATTCGTCTTCACTGAGAGAAACCCCAGACGGCTTTCCCAGCGGGTCTCACCTCCTCTCGTTGCTTTTTAAAAGCGATGCTTGGGGTGTTTTACAGCTCCTGGATGAGCCAGAGGCCGGCGGTGCTCGATGCTGGCCGTGCGTGCCGATGGGCTCGTGGAAGGGACGTTGGTGGCTTCAGGCTCTTACGGTGGGGACTCGGTGGGTGCCCCCTTGTAGGGTCGGCGTCGGTGTGAGATGTCCTGGTGCGGGATCAGGAGCGGCGGCAGGGGTTCAGCAAAGCCGGGCGCAGCGCCGTCCCCTTGCCCGCTCCGCCGGGATGTGCCGGTGCGGGGGGGTAGGGATGGATGTGCCGGGGGTGGATCCCGCCGTGCTCAGGGGGGGTTTGCCAGGTCGCTTTACGCACAGATGGCCGGTCTCAAATTTTGATCTTTTATCTAAAATTGTTCTAAAAAAAGAGCTGGGGGAGGGAAGGGAATTAATCTTCATACCAAAACAGCTTAAAATCGAACCAAAATCTGTAAAGCCCTGCGGTTTAAGCCCTTTCAAGAGCAAAAAATAACAGAGAGGCAGCAAAGCCCCTCCGGCTCGGCTGTTGGCTGGACCAAACGGTGCCGGGTTTGGAGCGTTTGGAGCTCCCTGACCTTGCAGAGGTTTCGTTTCCAGCCCGGTGACGGGTTGGGAGAGGAGCAAGCGTGAGCAGGGAGAGCCCTTTGCACCTTCTCGCAGGGAGGAGCCGTCCCTCCAGAGGCAGCAAAACAGCGAGCGGGGAGGAGCGGGAGCTGGTATAAATAATCCTCGCCATCGCCG